AAAGAAGGATATTCTAGAAACCTCTTTGATATGGGATTTAAATGACAGGTCCTGATCAAAAATAACACCAAGATTTTTTACTTTATTATCTGAAATCAGTTTAATCCCATCCAAATGAAGTGACTGGCTAATCAGCTTCTTTTTCAGAGACTCTGGTCCAAAGACTATAACTTCTGTTTTGTCTGCATTCAGAAGCAGAAAGTTAAGAGTCATCCAGGTTTTTATGTCTTCAAGACATGCCTGTAATCTATGTAATGGCTTAGCTTCATCTGGATTTATAGACAGATATAGCTGGGTATCATCAGCATAACAGTGGAAATTAATCCCATGCTGTCTAATAACTCTACCAATTGGGAGCATGTATAAAGTAAAGAGAATTGGTCCTAGCACTGATCCCTGTGGTACTCCACAGGTAACCTTTGAGCGTGTTGAAGATCTATCATTAACATGAACAAACTGAATTCGATCAGATAGATAAGATTTAAACCAGTCTAGTGGTGTTCCTTTAATTCCAAATAAATATTCAAGTCTTTCTAAAAGAATATTATGGTCAACTGTATCAAATGCAGCACTAAGATCTAACAGGACGAGCACAGATACAAGTCCATTATCTGAAGCCATGAGAATATCATTAGTGACTTTCACCAGAGCTGTTTCAGTGCTATGATGAGCTCTAAAGCCAGACTGAAACTCTTCAAAAAGTTCATTATGGTGTAAGTCATCGCAAACTTGTTTGGCAACTACTTTCTCAAGAATTTTGGATAAGAAAGGAAGATTGGATATAGATCTATAATTAACCAAGTCATCTGGGTCAAGAGACGGTTTCTTAAGCAGAGGTTTAATTACAGCAACCTTAAAAGCTTTAGGTACATATCCCTGTAACAGAGATAGATTAATCACATCTAAAATGGAGGAGGAGATCAAAGGGAATACCTCCTTAAATAACCTGGTTGGAACTGGATCTAACATACAAGTTGAAGGCTTAGATGAAGACAATAATTTTGCTAATTCCGAAAGTTCAACTGGATCAAAGCAGTCTAAACCCGGTACAGATTCCATGACTACCTCAGGTACAATCGCGGATAGAGGAGTGCTTATGATCTTATTTTTAATAAGATCAATCTTATTTATAAAGAATCCCATAAAATCATTGCTGCTAAGAGCAGGTGGAATGGACGGTTCAACAGAGCTATGGCTCTGGGTGAGTTTGGCTGTATTAAAAAGAAATCTAGGATTATTCCTTATTCTCCTCTATTAATGAGGAGAAGTATGCTGCTCTTGCTTTACAAAGGGTCCTCTTATACAGCAGTAAACCATTTTTCCAGACTTGGAAGGACTCCCGCAGGCCTGTGGAGCGATATTTTCTCTCCAGTTTCCTAGCATTTTGCTTCAAAGTACGCAGCTCTGCATTAAACCAAGGAGCAAGCTTTCTATTTTTGACGGTTTTAATTTTCAAAGGAGCTGCGTTGTCTAAGGCAGTACGCAGAGAACTAGCAACCCAATCAACAAAATCATCAACCTGTGAAGGGGAATAAGCTATGCTTTTGCACTCTGCAGCACTGCTCAGTGACACAGAGGAGAGAGAAAGTGAAGCAGATTCTTTAAAATTTATAACTGCACTATCTGATAAAGATCTACTAAAATTGAACCTTTTTTGGGGGGAGGAGAACTCTGTTAAAGTAATCCTGAAGGTTATTAGAAAGTGGTCAGAGAGGACAGGGTTGTGAGGAAATACTGTTATTTCTTCACATTCTATGCCGTATGTCAGCACAAGATCCAAAGTATGAAGATGAGAATGTGTGGGACTATTCACATTTTGAACAAAGCCAATAGTGTCTAAGATAGCATTAAAGGCTGCTCTTAAGCTATCGCCTACAATGTCAGCATGGATGTTAAAATCTCCCACTATGATGACCCTGTCAGTATTTAATACCAAATCAGAAAGGAACTCTGAAAACTCATCTAAAAATTCAGAGTAGGGACCTGGTGGACGATACAAAGTTACAAAAAGAATAGGTTTTCTTGCCTTGAAATTTGGATCAGGGAAATTAAGGGTTAAATGTTCTAAAGAGTTGTAGGTATTAACTGTTTTGGGAGTAATCAGTAAGTCAGACTGGAAGATTGTTGCTACTCCTCCTCCTCGCCCAGAACTTCTGGGTATGTGAAAATTTAAATAGCTTGAAGGAGTTGCCTCATTTATGCTCACATAATCCTCTCGCTGCAGCCAGGTTTCTGTAAGGCAAAACAAGTCAATGTGATTATCACAAATCAAGTAATTAACCAGCAGACTTTTAGAGGAAAGCGATCTTATGTTAAACAGACCGCATTTAATTGTTTTAACTTTTTCCCCAATTGAAGTTATTTTGATTTTAATTAGATTATCATGATTTACTCCTTTGGGAATCTTTGCTAATTTATTAGATTTTGGTCGTGGGCAAGACACTGTCTGGATGGAGTAAAGAGTGGGTAACAGTAGAGAAGCTGCAGAGATGTGTGTTAAACTACAACTCTGCTTCCTGGTCTGCACCCTGGGTGGTCAGGGTTTTGGAGGACTAATAAATGTGGCCAGATTCCTAGAAAGAAGAGCTGCACCATCCAAAGTGGGATGGATGCCGTCTCTCCGAATCAGACCAGGCTTTCCCCAAAAGGATTGCCAATTATTAATGTAGCCCACGTTGTTTTCAGGACACCACCTAGACAACCAGCGGTTGAATGACGACATGCGGCTAAACATGTCATCACTGGTCAGATCAGGGAGGGGACCAGAGAAAATTACGGAGTCCGACATTTTTTGGCAAACTTACACACCGAAGCAACACTAATTTTAGTGACCTCCGATCGGCGTAACCGGGTGTCATTACCACCAGCGTGAATAACAATCTTACTGTATTTAACCTTATCCTTAGCCAGTAGTTTCAGGTAGGATTTGATGTCGCCCGTTCTGGCCCCCGGCAAACATTTGACTATGGTCCCTGGTGTCTCTAATGCCACGTTTCTGACTATGGAGCTGCCAATCACCAGAGTGGGCTTCTCAGTGGGTGTGTCACTGAGTGGGGAAAACCGGTTAGAAACGTTAACGGGTTGGTGGTGACCAGTGGGCAGAGATCCACGACTACGCTTTCTGCGTACAGTTACCCAATCGCCTGGCTGCTCAGGCACTTTTGGAGGAAAGCTACGTGGGGGGCCTACTTTAACTCCTGGATGTTCAACAGCCTGAAGCCTGGATTCTAACTCTGACACCCTCGCCTCCAAAGCTACAAAAATACTACACTTATTACACATCCCATTATCACTAAAGGAGGCAGAGGAATAACTGAACATCTGACACAGAGAGCAGGAGAGAGGAGAGGAAGAAGGAAGAGTTGGAAAAGAGTCAAGGGAGGGAGAGAGAGAAGCCATAGCAATGCTAAGCTAGCGCTAGCCTAGGCTAGCTACTCCTTGCTATCAGAAATAAAACCGTGTGAAACTGACAAGTGCTCAGTAGAAAAGTGCAGCAGAAGGTGCTATGTTTTAAAGTAGTCAGTTAGAGTTACTTAGATACAGAGATATCACAGAGAAAATAACTTAACTTCAGATGGAGATCCTCTGGACAGCTGCAACACCTCCACACTCATTACTCATTACTGTTCACATTTCCAAATATATGAGACTTGTATGTGATCTCCTATGTGAACTGCAGTCATACAACGCAAGTGTCCCATATGCACAGTAGAGGACGCAATGACATCACAGGCTAGCATGCTCTGTGTTTACGGAAGTAAACATGGATGGTAATGCCAGAGTGCATCTAGTGAACTTTCCCAACCATAAAAACACAATCTTTTCTAGATGGTTAAACATAAATACTGCTCTCCGCATCATAATCTGCCATGGTTGTTGTTGTTTTTGCTGCTTCTTCATAGCAAGACGCAGAATTGTGACCTTTGTCGGGTATTAATGGCGTTCAGGTCGGATGAATGCGACCTAGTAAGAAGGTTAGTTACTCAGTACTTGATTGACCTCTTTACCAAACACTTTTTTACTTTTACTCTTGTAATTTCTTGAAAGCATTCTTTTTACTTTTACTTGAGTAAAAAAAAATGACAAGTATTGCAACTCTTACTAAAATACCAACTATAAATGAAACACTACCAAATAATAAAAAACTTGCTCCGTTTCAGATGCACTCAGCTGAGCTGCATCCTTAATGATGTGATTCTCCGACACTGAGCGGGAATAACTAAGAAGTTGTATCCAGCAGATCTTATTTTATTCAACGGATTAATAATCTATCGTTAATTTGAATTTTTCAGTTAAGAAACCTTTCTATAAAAATTGGGTCACAGTACTGGAAGTCTTCTCCCTCTCTCCTATTTCTCTTTTTATATTTGAAAAATAAAGCAGGACAAATCTTTTCTTCTTGTTTTGAGCCCCCTCTCTGTCAAGGACCCTTAGAATCGTCCTAACTACCCCCAGTTTAGATTTTAAAATGGAAAAATTTTAATTTTTTTTACTTTCCTATTCTTTTATTAAAAAATTCCATGTATACTGTAACACGGATGCATAAAAACCTGCTTTTTTTCAGTGTTAATTGCTCTTTGAAGTAACAGGTTAAACAGAACAGATTAAAGATGTCTCCGGACCTTTACTGGTTGTCGATTTTATTTGGACCCCATTGATTTTTAATTGGCTACCCCTGGTTTACACTAAGCTGACTTCCAAAGATGTTCGTCCACCTCGGTACCTCGATTGTGAGTTGGGCCTCCTGCCCACAATAACACCTGTTACACATTGTTTTCTCCAAACCTGCTTTACTCATCCAGTTAAGTTTGTCTATTTCTTTGTTTTTGAAAATTACGTTTTTCGTTTTCTTTGTTAGTCTAGTCTTGTGTTGGTCCTGTAAACTCATAGTTTCTAATTCTTACTATTGAGCCAACGATATCCCCATCATTCCAGTATGATTTTAGCATTCATCTTTGGAATTGATGAAAATAAAATGCATACAAAAATTGTTACAACACTTATTAATAAAAGAGTTTTTTTTATTTTGCAGATATTTTCCTCTAAGAACAAAGCTTTCAAATTCTCAAACAGTTTCATAAATGTATGAGTGAGTTAGGAAACTTGCAGCCATATCATAACCATTTCATAAATTACTCAAAATTTTTATAAATACAAGAGATAATAAATATTATCCTTCACTGCATCAACAGCAAAAAAAAATGTTTCACCAAATAAATAATTTTAAAATCCTAAAGCAATTTAACATAAATAAGTTCTTCAAGTTTCCCAAAGTAAATCTGCTTGTTTTGGTGTTGATGATCAGATAACTTTTACTAGATGGTCTTATCTTCAACGCTTCCAGAAGACATGTCCCCAGAAGACATGTCCCCAGATGACATGTCCCCAGATGACACGTCCCCAGATGACACGTCCCCAGATGGCATTTCTCCAGAAGGCATGTCCCCAGATGTCATAGCGGAGACAGAGGTAAGAAAGGGAGATGAAAAGGAACGAGGCAGGGTTGAGGACGAATGTGGTGAAGCGGTGGATGTTATGATGGAGAGGAGGGAGACTGTTGGTGGAGATAAAATGTTTCGCTGACCCTTTGTTCCCCTGTGAGAGGAAAGGTCAAAAGATGGATTAAATATGAGCAAAGCAGATACAAAGTCTAACGGGAATCTTTCTACTGCCAATTAAACCAACCTGAACTTTTGAATCTTCCGCCTAACCCAGGGAGC